GATAATGGATTGATAGATGTATGGATGAAGTATAATAGAGTGCACTTACGCTGGAGTATAGTTTGCCAATGTTCCTGCTCCGTAAAACAAGACAATGAGACCCACTAGKGCTGCAGGGACAAGCATCCCAGTGTAAAATCCAAGCCATGCAAAGTATAAACCAATCTTCTCACCAAAATATTGACTGTGGAGTAAGTTAAGAATCAAATCAATATCAAAATATCTTACATCTTTAAAAGGRTAAAGACAATCATACAATATAATTATTGACAAAACTTAACCATCAACTAGTTGTAAACCACTGACATAAAAAAGTTTAGCTAATCAGTGATGTCAATAACATTCGCAAGGACGCACAGAAAACAAGAAACACAACTAGATTTAGTGATTATTGTGTTGTAATCGAGCCAGGTAGCACTAATCGTAACAGATCTCATAATAGGTTGAGAAAACAATCACAAACAATAGCTAAAATTTCCAATTACAATAAAACAAAACCTAACCTAACAATAGGGCTGCTCTACTTTAGCAGCAATCGAAAAGCAGGTTTCAATTGGTGCTACATTACTGTAAGTTGTAATCACTGTAGTTGTACTCAATTACTATTCACTAGTTTGCACTATAATAATTTAACTACCTGTAGCTGCTATCGAGAGCAGCTTAGATAAGTTAAGTAACATGCATATATCAMAGGCAAGCCTACCTGATTTGGTCCAATGGTTGCTCTTTGTACCACATTCTAGGGGAAGCCCATACTCCATATAACAGCTGCAATGTTAACAATGGACCAATAATACAACCAGTAACCAATAATCACATCCTAACTGAGYCRTAAACAGACCCTAACCCAACKCTGACTGAACCCTCATTGGTCCCTAACATAACCTTTATTCCACCCTAACCAAACCCAAAATGAGCCCTAAATAATTTATAATTTACATGTCTTGAATTGATTGTACAACTAACCTGTCTTTCATTCTCAGGTTTGTGAGTCAAAAGAGACTGTTCCATCTTATAGTTTCCCTGACATGCAAAAAAACAATGTTTAATTTTTTCATCTGACCATTGGTTTCTTTATGTATTATGTAAAACTATAAACACTTGATCATTTAAAAATGTACTTGATCATTTAAAAATGTACTTTTCAGATTAAGACACCTTAGCGGTATACATCCCGCTTCTCAACCAATCAGAGTCGTTAAAAAACATAGGTATTTCGAGCTACGGGATGATAACGCGAATAAACCAAWCAGAACACAGATTAGTAATTTGATCTCAGCCGGTACGGGATAGTAACGCGTATTAGCCAATTACCGTCTTAAAAACAGCTAGAAGTGATGACAGATCAAGAACACTTTTAGACTTCTCTTTTAGACGAATACTCCAACTTTATTTCGAAGTAATTTAGCTTAGAAAGGTAACCTGCCTTGACTAGCATCTTTCTATTTCCAGGTTGATGTAAGGTATGTACTAAATGCTTGTATTTTTTTAAATCAATTCAATTCCTTGGCGGCAGGAAGTCAAATATAATATTTCAACTTGGAAATTGGTTGCTCAAAAAAGAAACCAAAATATAATCATAATCATGTTGTTATGAGTACCTCGTGTAATGGGTATGCAGCGCAATAAGAACCATTGCCAATCAGTCTTTGTATTCCTTAAGGGTATGGAAAATGATATGAAATATTAATGATATCATACATAAATTATTGAATAGTTAATTATCATATAAAACAGACGCAAATGTCACTGTCCTCTAATGTCACAATATTTTATACCAGAGTTCATCAATATTTCTCAAAAAAGTTAAAATTATATGGTCATAATGAATATTTATAATGTAATGTGTAATTCTTTTAATATTWTTGGCTGCCAAATATTATAAATTGYAACCTGATATTTCAGAGGTGAGAATTTTAACAAGGTTATTATTTGGACAGATGGATTTTAATGTATGCGACAATAATACTATTGGTGTGAAAAAATATAATATTTAATACATGATATGATAACCTGACGACATTAAATATGTAATAATATAACATATAACATGATATAAATTATTATGATAATGATGAGGATATAATGTWGATAATACTTCATTAAGCCTTACCAACTTGGGTGACCTTGTTAGTTCCATATCTTCCTCTTTGTAAAAGGGTATACACCTAGTTATATATACACAATATTTTCATTAGAAGTACGTCTAGAAGTATAAATGAAAGCTATTAATGAAGGAAACAGAGAACTAAAATCATAAGATATTGTTACCAAAACTTACAATTCTACTTCTCTGAGCAGGTGAAAAGAACGTATCACGATCYTCAATGAGAAACTTGTCCATCTTGTCCCTTCTGAAGACACACGTAAAATAGTTTGACTCTTCTGGAAGATCYTCATCACGAATTTCAAAAGGGTTTCGTACTCCAATACAGTCAAAACATCTCTCAGTCCACTCTGCAGTATCCATATCATTTTGCTAAAGCAAAATCGTAAGACATCAAATGAAAAAATATTACCATGAAGTTAACAGAAGAATGGATGAAAAAGGGAAAAAAGAATGAATTGATGTGAACGTAAGTAAATTACAAGAAAAGGAACGGACATAGCTAAATAAAAAATGGGAAGAAAGAAGACAGGTGGAAGAGGGAAGGAATTGATAAAATAATTAGTGAGAGCAAGAGAATTAAAATGAAATGAAAGGAGAGGATGAAAGAAAAAGAGAATTGAGAATGGAAGKCAGGGATAAGCAAGTGAAAAAGGGATGGGAAAGGAGGGAAKTGAATAAAASCAGAAGAAAGAAATGGGAGAAAGGGACAAAAAAGGAGCAAGATATGAGTAGTGATTACTAACACGGATAGGCATCTTCATCATCATTTCTTCTGCTATTTTTGTCAGTACTTTCCATGGTGCATGTACTTTTACAAAGGCAGTTTTTCCATTCTGYGATTCCTATAAAAACATAAGCATACTAATTATGTTAATCATTATACTTCCAGAGTAAGCAAGAATTTAGATTTAGACTGTGACTTACTTCTTCACCAACTTTTTCTAGTTTTAGTCCAAACTGCAAAAGACTTTTCTCAAATTCTTCTCTCTTTTCTTCTCTCTTTTCCTGCCATTCATGTGTTTTATCTGGATTGACTTCATAGGCCAGGACGTAATCTGGAAAAGCAACAATACACAGTTTGCTATAACATCAACATCTTTTTAACAGCAGAGTAGTTTAATCAAGGACATTATGCTGTGAYAATCGCCGGCGGAAACTGAATGTTCCAAAAATATATATATTTTGGCCAAAGAAGGCAGTTCAAGGGCAACTATAAAGATTTGAGAAACATCCAGTTTCCAAGGGGATTTATCACGGCAAAATACCCGGGACTTAAATTGTTGTATTATTCTTTTTATTCAACAACAAAATTTTCTGAAGTGAGTGAAGACTTAGGCTCAGTCTCCAGCCGYCGGGATTTCGTGCGCCCGCGATACTCTCTCCCCTGACGGCTGGGCGCATGAGGTTCGCTATTGTCAGTCTTGACCAATCAGCGAGTGGCCCCCRATATTTTGAGGGGCATATCATTAATAAATTAGCAGGCAGCAGTGTAACAAAATGGCGTACAATTCGTCGTTTGAGATTCTCTTTGAAAGTGCTTGTTTGAAGGCTGAAGTCGTTTAGCTTGGACGAATTTAGAGAAATACAGCAAAAGGCTCTTAAAGAGATTGTTCTTGGAAAAGATGTCCTTGTTATTCTTCCTATACTGGCTCGGGCAAATCTCTTATTTTTCAAACAGCGCCACTAGTGTATTTTGCTCGTTTTTCTGGCAGATAATACATCCATTTGGATTATTAAACCCTGCACATGTTTTACTKGGGGTAATTTCCATTCCTTTCTCTTTTTTAAAGCGCTAACTATTACATTATATYGCTACTTCGCGAAGTTTTCATTTCACATAATTTCCCGCCTTGTAGCAAAACCTTTACGGCTGTTGTCAGATATTTCACTTCCGTTCACTGAAAAATTCACTTCCGTTACGTCATAATATGCTAATTACACAAAAACGTCACGGACATGCGCGACACGTTTCGAACCCCATGCGCCCAGCCGTCAGGGGAGAGAGTATCGCGGGYGCACGAAATCCCGACGGCTGGAGACTGAGCCTAGTGAAGACTCAGCTTAATAGATATATACCGATAGTACCCCTCAGTGGAAGAAAATTGTTGTTCAATTATAATTTAAGTTGTATAGCACCTGTTTTCAAGGGAATAACATTGTTTTGTCCAATTGTAAAACCAGTACTATATGTAATAAAAGGTGTTTATAACAAAACAAGCCAAATTACCAATTTTTCTTCTTCCATCTTTGAAGTAGAGTGACTTAGTATGCTTAGTTTCCTGTGAAAATTAAAATGAGAAACATATAAGGAAAATGTCAATTGAGCTGAGTAATTTGCATTTTTGCGATTCAATAATAATAATAATAATAATAATAATAATAATAATAAAAAACGGCAAACAAGTGTGATTCAATAAAAAATAAGACAAACATTTTTAAAATTTTATTTTTCATTTATCTATTTTTTTACGTATTTAGGAATTTGTAACATAAGTTAATAGACAAGGAACTGCGCCGTAGACTGAAATTTTGAATTTATTTTGTAATAAATTTGGAAGCCGAGATTCAGCATTCATTCAGCATAGGTATCAAGCTCTACAGTTGACAGTAATGCCCATAATGAAGCAATAAATCTTTTTAAGTTGAAATCATTTCTACTCTAAGTTGACATATTTTATTATGAACTATTGAAAATAAAAGACTAGCCTAAGCAATGAGTATTTATATACACCCAAATAAAACAATTTAAATGAAAATTATTCAAATATAAATGCAATTAATAGCATGACAAATGAGATAAAAAGAGTTTATGAAAAACACTAATTAATTAGATGATTTCATCTGTCAATCAAACAAGGTGTCAGGCGGCATAAAGATCAAATGGCCATGCTGGTTCGAGACATGTGGCTGAAGCATATATAAAAACATGATTCTTGAATATTAATTCAAAATGCATAGCTGATGGACATCTTTCACAATAAAGCATGAATTTTTCAAAAACATTACACCATATAACCYTAAGTTAGATGAACTGGAACACAATTTGGCTGTCACGAATCTTAATCAAACAAATGTTTAAGCTTACTACATGTAGAAGTTCATTTCGGTCTCTAATAAATTACGACACTTCAAAACGTTGAAACCTATATCTAAAATCATATAAGACAACAATAAACAAACCTCTTTCACACGATAATGCGTTCTAGTCATCCCATCAGTAGTTTCATCTGTTTGTGGTCGACTATCAGCTGAACGTCTGTTGTTWTCGTCTCGTTGTGGCCTTGTAGTGGCTTCAAATCCTACAGGAGGAAGACCCGGRTCTTGTCGACGTTCATGACTATAATCTTGTGCAAGAGGTTGGTGTGGAGACGCTTGATAAGGAGCAGCATARCTTTGTTGTGCTGGTTGTTGCATGCCATATTGTTGGGTTGGATAAATGTCGTTTCGTGAGGGGTAAGGGTGGCTTGCTTGTGGTGCTTGTTGAGGCTGTTGGTGTAACTCGAATCCGATAGGAGCAGGAGCGGCTGGAGGATAAGCTCCATAATAATCGCCAGGTATATACCCAGCCATGTTTTTAAAAGAGCAACGATCAGTTGGACTGACTTTGTACGAACCTTTGTGTACAACACCCGAGTGCCTCTTTGACATACCATAGAAAACTCCAGGTCCGAGTTCACACCCGAGTAAACCCGAACTATTCACGAAATACGTCAATACAAAACCGAAGAGTCTACGAGCGACTTCGTATCTGATAACGAAACATTTTGGTGGCCTCCTGGTGCATCATATAAGATTCTATGAAGATCGTAATTAATTCTTTGCGACTAAAATCCAATATGGCCGAGCATCATTTGATTTTTTATGTTATATTGAATACGGGTGCTTAACAACGCAATCTATCAATGACGAAACACCCACGCACCTACTCAAC